AACATGTGAAAGGTGTCATGAGAGAGAGAGCTCGCCCTCCCTCCAGCTTTCCCTTCACGATTCGCTGCCCTCCACAGAACTTCAGAGCTTTTAGAAGGGCAGGCAGGATTTGACAACGGCAGCCTGACCCAACCCCCCGGGGCCAGGGGCTGCAATACTCCTGAGGCGGCCTCTTCAGCCCCGAGAGCGACGAGCGTAAATCCTGTCGCCTTGCAGCAGCTTTCGTGCAGGCAAATGCTGGAAATGGCTCTGCAAAGCCAGAGCGCAAGTCAACAGCAGTGATTTAAATAATTCATGTAGATATTTTCTTTCCTCCCTTTTTTCCTGGCTGGTTGGGAAATGAAGGTGATAGATCTAAGGAATGTTTGGGCAGTATTAGCTGTTTACACAGTGGGCGTTTGTACCATGGTGCCTTGGCTTGGCTGGTGCCTGCTCAGGTGTTTGTAACTGCAGGTCCATCGGCAGGAGCGGATGTTCTGCTCTGTTATAACTCGTACGATGCTGGATTTAAGCGTAGACCTACACAGCGGCAGGCTCCAAAACTGCTTTTTGTACCAAAGAAGAGAGTGCCAAAATCTGTATGAGTGTGTGTGGAGAGAGAAGTTGGAGCTGAAATGGGCAGGAAATGAGGAAACCCACGGCAGATGGACTATGTGGTTGTGTGGTTATTTGAAGGAAGTGATTTCTCTAAGAGGATACAGACAGAAGGTGACTTAAGTAGCTGGACAATAAAAACCAAGAATAAAACTATCAAGGGCAAGAGAATGAGAGGAGTCTAACAAGGAGGAGACAGCCCATATTCATCTACAAATCAAGATCAATTCTCATCAGGCATTAACACTTTTTTTTTTTTTTTCTTTTAGGTATGGAATACTCTCCTCTTCCAGAAGTTCCTTGCCTTCCATTGAGGTAATGCTGATGGGTTTTTTCCCTCTTTTTTCTTTTATTTGACTCTTTCTGGTTTTGAACAGTAAGAACATGCACTGATGCACACTTCATAGGGCACTAGTTAATTTTCTTCTGCACGTGTCATAAATTCTTCTTGTCTCTGGTGTTTATGCCAACTTGATCCTGTGTATCCTTGCAGTAAAACAAACCCACATTTTCTTAGGCAGTGTAGCCAAGGCAGGTGAAATTTACAGAAAATGCAAACACTTTAGCCACACAGTGTTTGTGTTAGTGGTACCACATTTACTGTTCTTATAACATTTGGCAGTAAATCTGGCAATTTACTGAATTGACAGGTGCCTCATGCCAAGCGCATGGGAATGCTAGACAGGGCCAGTGCATGTGCACGCAACTTGAGCGCCTGCTGTGAAATCTGGGTGGTTAAACGTGGACCTGAAGAAGCACTAAGATAGGAATGCTGCACTGAGGGACGTGTCCTTCGCTGCTCTGTTGTTTTTGGGGCCCTTGGTAAATGCTTCCCATGGCGTGTCTGTAAATACTTCCCTGACGTATTAACACGCTGAGAAGGAAAATCCTCGCTGGCGCTAATTAGTTTGGAAGCTGTGATGAAAGGTGTGTTTTGTCACTGCTTGTTGAATGCCAGATACCTCGCACCTGAACGGGTAGTGCTGTGTGTCTTTTGTGAAGACCTGAATTTCACTTTTGCATGAGTGAGGAAATCATAATTGCCACGGGTTAAAGTTGGGTTTCTAAGACGTATTTTGCATTTTAGTTTTTGTTAAATGCCAATACAAGAACAGCCTGCGCTCAGCTGATGTGCCAAGTGACTTTTGGAGAAGACTAGATTGATGTGCCTAGCCCCAGGACTGGTATCAGGAGACACTGAGAGATCTGTGCTGCAGATGATTTCTTTGTTTTCTTCTGGTTCTGGTGTGTTGTCATTTCCTACTAGGGCTTATTTCAGTAGTCACAGCTACCCACATGGTTCTGATTCAGCTGCTGTAGCCAGGAGTAAAGCCAGCCCTTCATTTATTTTCCCTCCTACTCCTGTGTGTGGAATGTGCAGCCTCATTTGCACCTACGGGCTTGAGCCTGTGGTTCGTGTAGCCTGTAGAGCTGTGGGAAGGAAGGAGAGCGTCTCTCAGGGGGATGTTTTTGGAAGCAATATAGATGCGTGGGCATATGTAAACATGACTTTTACAAACAGTTTGACTATTTAGGTTCCTACACTGACTGGGTCTTTTTTATTTAAACCTTTGTCTCTCTTGTATCAGATCACGGAGTGTTGGTGGGTTGTTTTCTGGAAGTCCATTCACTTGACTTCATGTACGGAAAGGAGGATATTTCTGGCCCTTTATGCAGTCAGCAATGACTAACAAAACTTGCCTTTCTTCTAGTCATATGTATTATGTCTGGTTTATATTTCAGACACTTCTTTCTAAGCTGTAGCTCATTGTTACAGCTGGATTGTCTGTAATAAAATAGATGGGAGGGGGAAGCAGGGATGAAATGGGGGTTTTGGGAAAAGAATCTTGTAATTCATGAATGTAAGAGCTGAGTTTGACATGTCTAAAGCCAGCTGTCAAATGTGTCTGTGTTTTGTTTCCTTAAAGAGTATCTGTTGCTGCTCTGGCCAGAGCGTTGCTGGACACTTTCCATGAGAGTAGCTTTATTTCTTGCTGTGACAGTGAAAAACATGACTGTATCTGTGGTAGTAGATATGCGTTCACCTTCTCTGCTCCATCAGGAGCCAGCGTGAAGCAAGATGCAACCATTTTTATGTGTGTATAGGTCGCTCAGAAGTGAAAAAACCTTCACTCTGTACTACGTCTGCTGTTGAGCACCACAGGGAGGAATCTGTATCTCCAACAATAAATAGGCTCTTCTAGCTTTCTGTCTGTCTGGCAGGCAAATGAAGCGTGAGGTGTATCAGAAGAGCTTGCAGATGCACTGTTGAGCAGACGTTGCCACTGATCTGCCTGGGTTGACTTCTCACGGGTTTTATTTTGCTATTCTATTCGGTAGTTATTAATGATTTTGTACTTATTGATTGTTATATTTAATATTATTTATTCTGTATTTAGTTACTTTCTGAGTTTCTTTTCTATCCCTGATGAGCGTTACGAAGTCTGGCAGTAAAACAGGGATGATGGTACTTCTTGTTTCACAGTTCTGTGGGCTTGAATTTGTAAAGGATTGAGTTTCATTCGCACGCGTCAGGTTAATGGTGAAGAGTATAGGAAGTTCTATGACTAGGTGGAGAGGCGTGAAGAAAGGGGCCCAACAAAGAGGTAAAAACTCACTAACACCACTTTTTGGGTTTTTCCTACTGTTTATCACTCTGTGCTTCCCTTTGTGCTGAGGTGTGACTTGCAGGAGTGACTAGACAAAGCAGGGTGTGGGTGCAAGGCCCCAACAGGTCCTGTCCGTGCCCTGGGCATCGTGTGCCTCCGGAAGGGTCTGGAGCAGCTGGCTTTGTGGCTGCCTTTGGCCACTTGATCCGGCAGGCGCACCCCGAGCAGGACCTTCCAGCGCTGTGGGGAACCCCAGCACAGGCACAGGCAGCAGGGAGCTGACTGGGTGCCTCCGCTAGTGCTCTTGCGCCCAGCACGACTCCTCCAGCTGGGAATGCAGGAAAAGGATTCTGGTTTCTGCTCTCTTTGTCATACTGTTGGGGAAAAGTCCTGGAAGAGGAAGTTTCCTGGAGGCAATTTTGGTGTGATTTCCTTAGATGCTAAATAACCTATGGACGTCTGCCTTTAAACTAGAACAAAATTACTTGAATTTTCCTTTTGTCAGTTGTTACAGCTGTTGAGGTGTGGTGCTCAGGGGTGAGTGTAGAAATGTATTTGCAGAGAGTATTTCTTTTTGGTACTTTTATATTTCCTACAAAGAAGACACATTGCATTTGGCTCATAATTTCAGTTTATTATCAAAATGTTTTTATCAGATGACAAACTCGGAAAGCTAAAAGGAACATAGGTTTTTAAATATACCTATTGTAGCAGTCATCTGAGGTATCTGGTACTTTTTTTTGGAAATCTGTTTGCTTTGGTATACAAAGCAGTAAGTTCCTTTGCAATCTGCATGAGGATGTTTAACACGTATCACTGCAGATTTAAAGCCTTTCCCCTTCTTAGTAAAGGCTCCTTCTTCTTCTTGCAATCAGCTGTGCAGCTTCGCTGATGTGAGGACTGACACTGGTCAAAGCATGTACAAATTATGTGCAGGATCAGATCCTAAACACTGAGAAAGTCAGCCTGAAAACTTGAATATTGATATACTCCATTGGAGAGCTCGGTTTTGTAGACTTTGTCTTATTGCCTGATACCATGCTTTAGTCAAATTTCCCAGTTCTATGCAGCCACTGATAAAATATATTACAATACTTCAAGTCAAAAGTGTAGCTCAGATTTAAGTATAAAAACTATGATTTATACATTACTAGAAACTTTAAAAAAGACCAACTTTAGAGAAAGCAAGAAAAAGCTTAGAAAACTGTGAAAGGATCTTTGATCACCATCTTGCAGATTATATGTTCAGAAATTAATAAATTACCTACAATTTCAGTTTGGCTGGAAAGCAGTAAATAAACTGTTGTGATTTCAGGTAATACACATGGGAATAATTAGTGAGAAGTTACTTAAGTACAGCAGGTCTTTGGACTCCTCTTGTATAAATGGTTTCAAGTAAAAACGAAAACATTTGGTAGAACAGATTTATCATAACAGCAGAGGGTACAAAGTCTGACACTGAGGATATAAACTGTTGTCTCATTATCATGTTATGATGTCTGTAACTGTGTGTTAATATTTCCTTCCTCCACTTGCTCAGAAATAGGCGTTCTCCGACCAGTGGGAGTTAATGTGTTACACTTTGGCATTTTAAAGTAAATCCAAAAGCCACTGGCCAGTGGGGAACAGGAATAACTACAAGTGAAATGTACTGTACGCTGTCAAGTGATTTAGACTCTACAGGGTTCAGCGACAGGAAAAGCAGCCGATCAGCTCGAGCAGCTAATTGCTTCATTGGCCTTAGTCCTTTATTTGATGTTGTGAGGTGTGATTTTTTTTTTTTCTTTTTTTTTTTGGTTTTGCCTGTTTACTAAGAATTACAGTGACCACTCTAGCATATTCCCCTCAGTTTTCTTCCCTGCTCCCCTTCTTGAAATCAGTTCAACGTTTCTCTTTCTCTAGAAAGCTTGCCAAGATGCAAGGCTTACGGTTCCGTCACCAAACTCGGCACTTCTTAGCAGGATCCATGTAGTTCGTCTTGGTGCATGAAAAGGCTTCAGAAAACTCGGGAGAGTTTTGGAGTGAACCTATGACCCTTTAAAACAAAACATCATCATCTCGTCATTGTTGCTTGCCTTTGTTTAAAACAAACAAGACGACCCACATTTTGTAACTTCTTTTTTGTGTCACCTCAAAATACTGTGGGAAACCCCCGTGTTTCTGAACTCGTGACTACTGCTTCCATCGCACCTCGAGCGGCGGCTCTATTTTCTCTGTCTGGTTTGTGTGGTCCCTATTGCAACCCCCCAAAATACAGGACCTGTCCCTTCTTCCTTACTGGCCCTCACAAAACTTCCATTTGTGCCACTAGGAACAGCTTCGTTGCTTGTTGTTAGTTTTCACTGAGGATTTTTTCAGCTCTGTTTTGCTGACAAGTTTCTTGGTAAAGGGGAAACAAGCTCCTGAGGTGGGGCACCGCGGGGTAACTTCTCAGTGAATGCTCATTTGCATTTTTACACCCATCAAGCTCTAACTGAGATCATACTGCTGCTCTGTGCACTCTCCACAAATGTTCCAGTGAAAGAGTTTTCTGGAAAAAAAACTTGTACAAAGAACAGCTTTCAAGTGAGTATGAGGACGTGCCAGCTAAAGCAGTTTTTGTACGTGTAATTGTGAGCATATGGGAATGTATCTGCTAGGAGCTGCTTGTTCCTTCAGGAACAGAGACGCAGCATGCACATACCTGTGCAGGAAAACAACTGCAGCTCAAATGTCACGTTGATTGTGGACCAGGAATTATTTGAAGAACTGTTTCTTTGAGTAATTTGTGATTATTCTGCAAATAGTCTTAATCATTAGATTCAACAGAATGAGGAATTGTCCACAGAAGCTGAGGTGAAGTTCAGCAGCTGATCCCTGCAACAATTTGACTGTCTCTACAAGATCAAAAGCGAGACTGCTTGCTACCTGGTCTCAGGAGCCAGAAGTGAGTTTTAGGCGGAAGATCCCTGCCCCTCCATCGCTAACAAGCCTGTGTGCTGTGGTGCGATAAGCAAATCTGTGTTTCCTGCCTTGTGTACTCAGTCAGCCTTCCGAAGAGTAGGTGGGCTTGAATTCAGTAGAGTCACGCAGGAAGCTTGGCTGTTCAGAGTGGAAGTCTTTGGGCCAGACTAGGATCTTTTCTTTTTGACTGAAGTCAGAGGAACCTATTCATCGGTAGTGTAACAATGGTTTTGCTCTAATAAATCTGTTTGGTCAAATGCTGTGAGATCAAGTAATAACATAGCCATCACAACATCTCTGTTAGCTTGGAAAGGCTGTGTCATCTCCAGGATTCACGTACACAATAGCCGATTTCTCTCCTGATACACTTCAGTACATTAATTCCAGTATCTTTCTTTCAGTGGCTTTTCACCAAAGAATGATTTTGTTTATCCCACATACTCAAATATTTAGTGAAAGCAGTGACTGTTCCTTCAGTTGCTACTTGACTGGCATTTCGCTGTGGGTGGTTTTTGTACTATCTGCAGATCTCTCCTGGAGGCAGTTTATGTCCTACAATCGGCCGAATTTGGTCACAATGCTAACGAGGCTCTGCAGCAGTTCCTCAGAGCTGTGCCTCCGCTTTGCATATCTAATTTGTATGAGTCACGAGTCCTTTGAAGTTCACTAGTTCAGCATCTTTGTGTAATTGTATTTGTGTTTATCTTGGATATATTACATCATGTATTGTGTTGTTTTTACACCGGTATGAAAGGCTGTAAGCTTTGTATGGCATTACACAAGTATTAATGAGAAACCATACTAACATTTTTAGAATGGGAAGTAATTTTCAGGATGAGGCCCCCCTAAGAGCTCTAAAATAGAAAGCATTTCACTACATGAGACAGCCACAAAATTACTGCCTAATGACATACTATTAAAATGTCACAATGGCTCCCAATGTGCATTTTTTTAGTATTATTTGGAGGGTGGAGTGGGTTTTTTTTTGTTGTTTGTTTGCTTGAACACCCACTAGACTGACTGCAGGCTGTTTCTCCTTACAGGTAGGACAGGCAGCTCTTCATAAAAGTGTTAATTGCACAGTACAGTTTTAGTTTATGGGCTAACAACTCTGAGTACTGGACAGGTAGAATCTTTTGTCCACTAGAAAAATAAGAAGTTACCAGAAAGATGCCTTAGATCAGGTAATCATCAAAGGCAGGTGAAAGAGAGTCTGTATCTGAGTGTTAACATGCAAAATTAAAACATAGCAAGTACAGTAACAGATACAGGTCAAGCCCTGCTCGTGTACCAAGTCCCCATAGTTCTGAGGATATTAGTAGATGAAGCAGGATCCTTATCCCACTGCTGTTTTATCTGTTTGCTAAGGACAAATGTATAAGTAAGAGTTTATTACACCCAAAACACTTTTTGCTCCGTTTCTGGCAAAATCTCATTGCAGCAGTTCTAGTCCTTAAGAGTGATGAAGCACTGCAAGATCACTTAAGCGCAGGACTGTTTTGTAATCATTTTCTGCGCTATCTCCTGTTCTGCTGCTGGCTCCATACGTGTATACGCCTACATCTACCCTGGCAAGTGCAACCTGGCCTTTTGTGTAGAGTCCTTTAAAATCTGGAGCTAAAAGCTGGGTTGCACCTAGGAATTGCACCGAAGAATATTATATGTGCTGACCTGAATTTGCCTGGGCTGTGCACGTCAGTTTTGATGGAGTTCACAGCATATTCTGGTCTGTATGTTCCACACCATACCTACGCACGTAACAAAGAAAAGCTTTTGTTAGCCATAAGATTGTCCAGGAAGGGATCCGCTGTCATTTTACTGCGGAATACTTAATGCCGTGAGAATAAATTTCACATTAGAACATAGAGGAAAAAAAAAAAAATTGTTAAAAAAAAAAAAAAGAAAATACTGTTGTCTTCAGACAAAGGTACGTGGGCACAAGAAACTGTCTGCCAGACTTACTCATGGCTGAATTCATTTTTTAGGGAATATAAAAATTACCTAACAAGACTTTATTTTCACTACTAGTCAGCAGTGAACACTGCTCAGCTCAGCAACTGTGCCAGCTCTCAGTAAAACTGAAAGTCAGCCTACTCTTCCCAATTTACCGTTAAACTGTAACTTCAAGTGATTTTCGAAGCCTTCAGTCAAGAAGTATAGAGTACCTGTGCGAAGTTCAGAAAAAACAGCTGTTTATGGTTCATTTCAAGACCAGGAAGACGTTTTTCTTTTCCATGCTTTTTCACAAAGTTTTCATAGGCCTGTGGAATGAATTGTGTAGAAATGTTACAAATTCAGCCCAGACAGTCAAAATGCAATGATGACGAGAAGGAACATGGATTCTTTGACGTAATTAATCAGGCTACCTTGGCCATCCATCTTATCCCGTGCCACCTTTAAGCAGAAGATGACAGGGCCATTCCTTAGTACTGTGGTACCGGTGGCCTGACTGAACCAAGACCGTTTCCTCACTGAATGGGCCTTACAGTGCTGTTACACACAGGTTTAGTGAAGCTGCTCGAGTTGTACTGGAATATACTCGGCCTGTCTCTGCTCAAGGAGGCCCAAATGATCTCCAAGACAATCAAGGTGTGATCAGAGGATTCATTCCTCCCCCCTTTGTTCATCTTTCCCTCTTGCCCTTCTTCTTTCCATTAGACTTGAGAGAGGGGTAAAAAGCTTCAGCTGTGGCAAAAAAAAAAAAAAATCATTCTTCTCTCTGATTCTACAGAATACGTGTGTGCTGTCCTGTTTGCAGTTTGTTTTTCTCTCAAATGTTTATCACGTAAATCTGTCATACTTTTTGCCAACTACTGGGTTAGAGTCTAAAATACCACACTTAAGGTAAGATATGCTTTCCCTGTATACCATGCAGAGTTCCAGGATCCAATTTTACTTGCACAAAACTGATTCAGCAGGGAGAAGGCATCAATTTTACACATTATCTAATGTTTCATTATGAAAAGTAGATTTTTTTTCTTTGTAGTTTTGTTCCTCTTTTTTCTTTTTTAAGGGAATTGCAGAAGACTTAAAAACCCTTCCATAGTAAGAACAGCTGCTTCCATGTTTCTTGTGAAGGCTATGTGTCAAACAATGTGTTGTTAGTGTCTCAGCACTGATAGAAAAGGCGCTGGCAAATTGGAGACATGTTCTGCCTAAAGTCAGTGCCAAGCTCCTGCCTGAGTAAAGCCCGTCAGCTGCCCGAGGGCAAGCCGAGGAATGAGCAGTTCACAGCTCTGCTGAAAAGGCTCCGGGAGCTCTGGTGGGTAACGGGCTGGACGGGAGCCAGCGGTGCCACAGGACTGCAGAAAAGGCAAGTGCCATGCGGGGCTGTATAAACAGGAGTGTCTTATGTAAGACGCATGAAGGAATCCTTCCAAGCTACTTGTCACTGGCTGAGTCTCAGCTGAAGCACTCTGTCCAGTTTTGGGCACTGCACTTCAAGCAAGATGTGGCCCCACTGGAGAGAGGCCAGAAGAAAGCAGTGAGAACGAGCAGAGGTCTAGCAAACATGACCTATGAGGAAAGAGTGAAAGAATTGGGTTTGTTTAGTCTAAAGAAGTCAAGTCTGGGCCTTCAAGTATGTAAGAGTCTTCAAATACGTAAAAGATCGCAGAAAAGAAAGGAGCAGATTGCTCTCTGTTGAAAGCAGAGACGTGATGGTGCCTGGACTGCAGCAAGGAGGTGGCAGAGCTTCTCTTACGGTATGTTTGAAAGATGCAGAAACGGTTGGTTCTGCCTGCTAGGAGGCAGCAGGGTAGACTGGATGTCCTCTCAAGATTCCTTCTGGACCTTTTTTTACTATTTCTGTGGCGTCATAATAATTATAAATATCTTTTTTTAATAATACTTCTGACCTTCTAATTTTTCTCTGGCTACTCCCGTTCCTTTCAGAAAGACTATCCCCTTTTGTGGGTTTGTACGGTTTTTTCTTTTTAAAAGCACAAATGTTCCAGTAATTGAAGATCAGACTAATCTAGTAGGCCATGCTGAGGCCTCTTTTAGGCTTCCAAATGATCCTTTAAGCTCTCCTTAATAAGCCTATTTGCCCTCAAACATGTCTGTTTCTAGTGAAGTAGGTGTTGCTGATGCTGTGATGATAACTTTGAGAAGTGGGAGTTGGCCTGTGCAGCCCAGCAGGCGCTTTGTTGAGGAATGACAGCACTCCAGCTGTCAAGTGATGAATGATTCGCCATGGGACAGGGTGTGTTCAGGGAAGGAGAGGAAGGATCATGTTATTAAGGCCTGCAAGCATCAAATTTGCAAGCAACAGCAGTTCATAGGGAAGCTGACTTGCTTCTCGCCTCCCAACCCACGTTCACAAAGAGAAGACCTCTGCTTCTTTTACTTCTAGGCTCAAAGCTGGCCAGTCTAAGGAGTTCAGTATCTCTTTTGGGAAGAGAACGAAAGGAAAGCCAAAAAGCACGGAAGCTCCCATGGAAGGCTTAGCGCAAGGAGTCCAGACGCCACTGACACCTTTGGATACCTGCACAGGGAACCCAAGTCACTCGTAGAAAATACTTTGAACGGTTTTTTGAACACTGAATAGTGTTCCATGTTATGGGTAGAGCTTAGAAGAAAGTCATGCTGTCCCCCCCCTCCTGGCATAAAAAAAGCTGGTGAAGCCAGAGGCAGACAGCTGCTCAGAATCACCAGTTTAGTTAGGGGATGGGCTGTGGGTGGTTCATTAAATTCTACAGATTCGCTACTCGCAGTAGGAAGAAAATAGAAAGAGAAAGAAGTCAGCTGAAAAAGAGTGCACTAGGACACATAATATGTATCAGGGAATAATTAGTAGTGTGAAAGAAACACAACTGCTGGTCCATGGTTTTAAACCATGCCTCGATGACGCAGCAGCTGTGGTCCTGGCCCTAAGACAAAAATAATGTTGTTTCTTCAAAGGCTCTGAAATTAATTTGCTTAATCTATGGTGGTTTCAGCTAAAACAGAAAAATGGATACTTCTTACCTTATATGCTTGTCTAACTCCCCCATTATCAGCAATGTTTTCTCCTAGTGTGTTGATTCCACTCAGCTGTAAAATAGAACATACAGTTTTCTGAAAATGAGAGCTTTTCCAGGACCTGTAATGTCAAACTTTGTGTGGCTTTCACTGTTTAAAGGCAAGAATTCCCTTAAAATCTGAAGTTTTAGCAGAAGATTATGTTAACACCTCTGAAAATTCTTTGCCTGCCTTGTCTCAAAATCCATGCGGATACCATTGTTTTCCCTAATCCTTCCCTCAGACAGCTTTCTAGGCTCTCTCATCTCTTTTACTCAGATTTTCTGATGCTTAGTCATTGCTCATTCGTTCTTCCCATTTCCTTCATGTCTTTAACCCTCACCTTCTTACTACAGTTCCAGTTAGAGGAATTGGGCAGAATCTGTCCATATAGTCTGCAGAACAAGTTAAAATCCAAACTCCAAAGAGCTGAAACTATCAGTTAACAGACATCAGCAAATCTGCTAGAAAGGAAGTATTTGCCTGTATCTTAGGCAAGTTAGGTAGCTCTTTGGTAGTAAGATACATAGAAGATACTTATTTAGCTGGTATAGTATTCGTACGTCAGGGGAGTGTCACTAAAGATGACGAAGCTTTGGTAATGGAGAATCTGTAATTTTATTTTTAAAAAATTCTATTTTCAACCTTTAGCCCAAGATACCAGGCTACGATATTCAAAGCTGCAAAACTTAGAATCATCATTAGACTGAATTTAATGTGTGGAAAAAATGGCAGAAAAATATGTTGAAATATTCTCTTTTTTTAGTGGCCTCTCTGTGGGTCCCAATAGTTTAACACACAGATCAGGAAAACCTGAGGGCTGGAAGTTGAATCTTTTCCCTGTTCTGTATGGCAGAATATATTCTCAGCCTCTCAAAAACCAGACAGGAGCAGTCAGAGAAGGAGCTTCTTGTAAGGGTCTTCTCATTTGCCACGTACCTGTGGGAGGTCCCATCTAAGAGGAATTTTGTTCCACCACAGAAAAACACGTGGTGGCTCAGTTCAACCATGGGGTTGACCAGTGAGGTCCAAAACAAATGAGGGGCTGGGTTACACATACAGGGCTGTCTCCTTCCAGGGGCAGTTTTGCAGCTTGCAGTGAATAGGAAACAGACCGGTTTTTTTTGAGGAATTAGAATATCACTGTCGCCTGTTTCTGGGGGTTAATGGAATATCGATCTGGCTGGGACACAGAGCAGACCCGATCCTGCTGACTGCTCTGGTGAAATTAGGGCTTCCAGACCCCACGGTGAACACCTCCTGACTTTGTGCAGAATGCTGTAACTGCAGTCACGTTTCGGTTGCCTGCCTCTCCTAAACCTGTATATCCTCTCTTCCTCTCCTGCTCTACCCTGATTCTTCTCAGCCATTTTTTAGCCCTCTAGGCCAGATGTTTCTCTGGGGGAAAGCGCAAGAAACTTTTGAGTGAAGGAAAGCAGCAGGCAGCATTCGTTTTGGTGGGAATATGTATTTCTTTTTTTTCCTGTTCCTTTGGGGAATTAAAAAAGAGTCTTTGAGGGCCCAACCAGGCTTCTAGGGCAAAGGCTTTTACGACTGCCACTCATTCAGAACGTAAATCCTGTCTCTTTCAGAACAATCAGTGTATGTGTGGAGTTTGTACCACTATCTTTAATTTTAAGAATCTCTTTTGGGTTTTTGGATGGATTTTTTGTTTTCTTTGGTGTAGGGGAGACAGTGTTGGCCATAAGCCAAGAAAGCATTCGTGTAAATAAGGGTTTTCATGTTTAGGATGTAAGATTTTGTGCTTCCTCATTAAAAACAACATTGGTATTTACAAATAAATATTACATACATGCTGTCCACCTGCTAGGTCCCATGAAAAGTTTCCGTACTGGTACACAATACACTGGGATAGCTCCTTAAAATTCCGTGCTGATTCTTCAGTCCACCAGTCTACAAGGTCTCCATTCTCATTAAAATTTCTGCCTGTAATAACATGTTAATAGAATTATGTATACAGGAAAAGAGGTTGTGGTGCAGTAAGAAGGGTAGCAAGTGAGTACAATCGCTCATGCAAAATAATCGCTGTAATGAGGCAGTCATACAGATGATGCG